AGTCTGCCTCCATAAAAGAATAGCCTTACAACCTTTGTATGTATATGCAGTGTGTGTGTGTGCGTGTGTAAAAAATTTATTAAAAGTTTTAAAGAGAAGATAAAAGCTAACAAAAACTAATATAGAGTAAAGAAAGAAAAAAAGGGGAAAGAAAGAAAAAAAGAAAAAAAGATGAAAAGAAATAGAAAGAAAAAGCTTTCAATTTTCTTTGCAGCAAATACAAGTATGATTACAAACTTATCTCTCTATGGTTACAAAAAGAAACACTCACTTTTTTCTATTATCTAGGTTTTTTTTAATTGTCAAAACCACAAGTCATAAGTGCATTTTTTTCCCATTCCATGCAAAAAGTCTATAAGGGGTTTCTAGTCAGCCATAAATGTAGATATTGTCTTTTCTCTAACCAAGGAACTCAATTCAGCCATCTCTGCAAGTTCCATCATCTTCACCAGCCATTCCTTTATTGTGAGTAGTGTCAAACCTGTCCACTTTTGAGCATATAATAATCTTGCTGCAGTTGTCATATATAAAAAACAAAGTTCCATGACTTTTTTGTAGTTGTCTGTCCATTAGTCCCAAAAGAAAAGTCTCTGATTTTTGTATTTTAGTCTTTAAAATCTTCTGAATTAGTGTATGCATTTGTATCCAGACTTTTGTGGATTTTTACACGTTCACCTAACATGATAAAATGTCCCTTCACTTGTTCACATTTCCAGCATAAATTTGAAGTACCTGTATGTATTCTAAATAATTTATCTCACGTCATATACCAACAGTACATAATTTTGTAAAAATTCTCTTTAAGACTAGAATATAATGTAAATTTCAATCCTTTCAACCACATACTTTTCCATTGATCCATTTGTATATTAGAACAAAAAATTAGCCTATTTTATCATATATTATTTCACTTTTTCTTCTTCTGTCTCAATTTCAACAAAAGTTTATACATTTTACAATAACATGTTCATCATTTGTACATAATTCTGTTTCAAACTCAGTTTACATTGTTCAAAACCATAAAATCTTTTATCCACTTTAAACCTTTCTAATAGTTGTATATAGGAAAACCACTGGCAAGTATATCCTTCTGTTATCAAATCTTCTCTTGATTTAATTTTACATTCCCCTTGAGAAAATTCTAGCATATATGATAAGTTAACCATTTATGTTTACTTATCATTCCTCATCTATAAAATGCTTCTCCTCCAATTCTTTAAATCTTTCTAAAAATTATTTTGCCTTCTGAACAAAATTCAATCTAAACCTCTGCTGTTTAAAAGTAAAAATCACACCTTCCAATTTATCCCATCAAAATGGGATCTTTTTCTGTTTTAATTTTTCAGCCAAGAAGGTATATTATTTTCTCTTATGTAAAATTCTAATAGGAATCTTTTTCAAAATAATTGTATCTGTATTATCCATTTTCAATCTTGTATTAAAATGCTGCTGCAGAACTTGATCCCTTGTCTTCTTTCTAACAAAATGCACCAAAGTATCCCTTGGGATATTTCTTGTTCTAGGAAATCTATAATTTATTCTGTAAACTTTATCAATTTCTGTCTCTATATCTTTCTCTTCCCAATCCAGAAAATTTGCCAAGAGTTTAATAATCTGTTCTCTAATATCTTCATCTGAAACCTCTGGAACTGCTCTAAATCTCAAACAAAATTCTTTCTCTCTCAGTTCCAATAAAGCCAGATTATCTAATTCTCTTTCCAACGTTCTATCTATAACTTCTGTCTTACTCTCTAAAATTTCCACTTCATCACTGATTTGTTTTACCTCTCCAGACATTTCCTTTAGAACTTTCCATTTTTTTGTCATCTTTCATTTCCTCTCTCAACTTTTCAAATCTTTCATCCATTCTTTTTTCAAAAGCTTCCAATTTATTTCCCATTTATTCAAATAATTTCTGAAGCAAATCTAGTATAACTATTTTTTTCTGCTGATGTAACTATTTTTTATGCAGGTTGCTCTAGCAATCCCTTCCTGTCCTCTCTTGTAATTTTTTCTAATAGTTGCCATTGTATATCATAATCCAAAAGTGAAAGTATCTCAAGCAAGCAAAAGGAAAAGGCAAGCCCCCCCCCCCCCCTTTTTTTTCCTTTTTATCTTTCTGTGGTTTGAACACTTTTATTCTAATGGCTCTCTTTAACCTCAAGCCACAACACACACCACATCACCATGGCAACAAGACATCACGGTCCAGTTCATTGCCTTATCTTTTGTTATGTAGAGTCCACCAATTAGATGCAGTCTTTAACAATAACAGAAAGCATTCCTACAAAGGTCTAGTCTCTTTAACTGGCTTAGCGCAAATTTATACCAAAGCACTTTTGTCAAAAGTAAAAATAATAAAAATAGAAAACAGAAAAATGACTGTCTCCTTTGTCCATTTTGAAACTTTCTTAAATTTTCTCTTTGTTAAGCTTTTTCACAAAAAGATTCTTAAAGCTTTAAATCCTTAAAGTCTGTCTCTTGTTCTCTCTCTCTCTCTCTCTTTTGTAATCATGAAAGAAGGTTTAACTCACCTCAAGGAATCTTCTCTTTGCTGCAAAGGAAATCTCTCTATATCTATAGATTAATTATTTCCTAAAGCAGTTAAGAAATGAGGATAGCAAGGCTTAATGTCCATATAGACTACACTGTAGTTGTGAGTGTAGGTGGAATCCCAGTACAGCCAGCTGCTCAACTTCCAAGCTGACTGCAAAAACTTGCATTTCTGCAGTTTACCCACAGGGAGCAGCTGTCCGGGGTGCAAGTGGGTTATCTCATTATCTTCCTTTGATCCAGGAAGATTACCCAGTCAGAATCCACCTTCCAGATGGTGTTCTCAACCATGGTGTCTCTCTGCTCCTTCAGAGATGTCAGTCTGCCATAATTTCTCACTGGAAACCCCCAGTCTTGCAACTTTCTCCATAAAAGTATAGCTTTACAAACTTCATAACTCATAACATTACAAACTTTATAACTTCATAAACTCCATAAAAAGAATAACCTTACAACCATCTCCATAAAAGAATAGCCCTACAAAAAAAGAAGGAACGAAGGAAATCACATGTAAGGGCTGTGGCTTGTCTTAGCTTACGTGGAGTGCAGCAGTGTTTAAAGGATAGATTTCACCACATTCTGAGACTAAAGAGTTATATTTTAAGTAGCTTATGTTAGCTGTTCACAACACAGATTATGCTTAGGATTCCCAAATCACCTATCTCTACAAAGAGATGTACACATAAATAAACAATAAGTCCACATTCACCATCACAATTGCAACTCCCAAAAAGGAATCCAAACCATTTATTTAGGTAGATTACAGGATGTGACATCTGGGGAGCAGAGGTTTCTGCAGGTCAGGAATCATTTAGCAGAGCTACTTGCTGAATTAACTTTGCTATAGATACTTAGTAGATCCCAAGCAAGCATGTTGGACTGTAGCAATCCTGTCTGATAAGAAGCCAGAGCTTCTGAACATGGGTCACTAAGGGACTGCCTGCTCCCATATGAACCTGATTGTTAAATCATTCTTTCTAGATATCCCTTCTCAACTGGTAGATAAAAGGGCTTTTTTTTTCAGTTGCAATCCCAACAGCAATTGCAACTGAAATGTTCTCCCTGGTTTGCTCATCCAAGGTCTTGTTTACTTGTGCTTAATGATTCATTGATCAACTTGATGGCTGAAGGATTTTTATCTTAATGCTGTTTAATTGCTTTGTTATTTTCCATACATGTTTCTTCAAGTTCCTTAATTTTTCTAAAAAAAAAAAATTAACTATAGGGAGCTACTCTGCCATTAATATTATTACCAACACTTCTAGATATTTTTTAAAAAAGAAGAAAAGAAATATTATCCTTCTTATGTACATGCCAAAACCAGAGGCCAAGAAGTCCCCACACCTGATCTTAAAAATTCTGAATGGGGAAGCATAAATCCTTTGCAATGATGACTTCTCACCTCAGCCTTTTGGTCAACCCGCTGTTCACCAGGACACCTATTGGACAGTAGCTCATGGCCAGCAAGGTAAAGGGGATTTTTAATCCCACAAATCTGGAGTCATCCAACTGGAAGAGACTGTTGTTCAACCACTCAGAAATATACCTTCAAATCTTAATTCATATCAGAACCTCCAAATTTCTCTTCACTTTGCTCTGATTTAGGAACATATCAGAACCCAACCAAACTTGCCTTCCAAGTAAAATCCCAAGGTCTTGCTCTTGCTCCTTTCATCCTGGTAGAGAGGATGGAAGAGTTTTCCTAATTCCTTCCCATTCTAAATTCTTATTCATTTCACTGTGGCTATAGGCATCCTTAAAAGAAGCCACTTGAATGAGAAGAGGAACTGCTCTAACTACAAGGTGTGGCTCTAAGTAGAAATAAGTTCTAAATAATTGAGCATAACATGATCATGGATTTTTCATCAATGAGCAGAGGTATAGTATATGCACCACCACCAAGGCAGGCACTATTAAAGAGAGCATTCCCAAAACAACATCCTTTTTAGTCTCACTAAATCCTTGCTCTGAGATTCCAGCATGGCTTGCAGAGGTGATTCCCTAGCCAAATGTACTTAACCTCTTGCATGATGTATGTCACGTCAGGGAGCTTGCATGAACCCTGGATGGCTGTCTTCCCTGGTCTTTGCTTAATCTTTTGTTGTCAGCTTCCCTTGCCAAGCTTTGTCTTCCAGCACAGCTGACTAACTAGTGAGTCTCCCAGTTTGTACTTGCACCTGTGGGTTTTAATTGTCCAGGATGATCCAGGTCTAGATGAAACAAAATTCAGTATTGTTTTAAAAGGCCAGACTCTTAGCGGAGAATAATTGCTGTTGCTTCTTTACTGCAATAGAGTTATACCATGGTTTAAGTTAAGAGAACTCATATCCTGAATGATCTTGTAGAAAATTGTGACAGAGATAAATAAATGAATATATATGAGGTATTTGAGAATAATGTACAGACTCATTCCAGCCCAATTTCCCAGAATAACAAAGAAATTTCACCTTAGGTGTAAGGACTACAGCAGATCCTCCACTGATACTAATGATAGGCACATAGGTCTGGGATGAGATGAAATCAAGAATCTGTGCCACAGCTTCTGTACCAATGTTGTCCTCAAAGACAATTCCATGGATTTTTGTGCTGGAGAGCATGTCACAGATCTGAGTCAAGAGTGTACTAGGGTTAGTGTCATTGACCACCACAGTGACTGGATGGATCTCTAAAGGCATGTCCAAGAAGCTCTGGTATGTCAGTCGGCTCCGGATATGGAGCGAGTATGAAGAGCTGCTGAAAACCACAGCCACGTTTACCACAGGTTCCCTGGAGTTTGGCACCAAAGCATCCATTAGGGCAGTTGAACAGCCCAGCACCATAGACAGCACCAGGGTATTTGCCAGTGTTCTGTCCATGGCCACCAAGGAGCCCCTGCAAGTCAGAACAAAGATAAATTATGGAAAGCATCCAATGGAGGAATGGGATGAAAGTACAAAAGATGTGTTTTACCAGTTGGATCTTGGAGAACTATTTCACACACTGTACTTCAAGAAACCTGAGTCTGCCTCTTAGCATACAGGGCCCAGAGGGATAACCACAGCTCTCTGATAAGCATATCGCTATGCATATATGACTTTTCAACATTGAACACTGTTTCTTGCCTGACACAGTTTTGTCTTTAGACTTAGGGGGAAAAATCTTAAGTAAGCATCTAAGAATATATAATGTGTGAAGCAGCCCTGAGTTACAGAAAAGTAAATTCTACCAAATGCTACTAAGCAATAATGGTATCATTTTTCTTTTCTTTTGTGTACTTCTGAGATTGATACCTCACCGTTTCTCCATTCTCAAGAGGTCTTCCTTGAGAATGTCTCCTCACTTTATCCATACCACAATTCTGTAAGGTAGTTTGGAGCAGGAGAGAGTGCCTGCTCCAATGTTACCTAGAGAGTTTTCATGGATGAGGTGTACCTTGGTATTGCCAGTCCTAGTCCAACATTTGAACTATCTAGTATTTCAACCCTACTGACTCTCATTCTCTCCTAATCCAAGATCACTTGCCTCATCCATTCCTGCTCTATAATTAAACATGCCACCTGTTTATCAGGGGTCCCCTCCCCCATTTCTACTCTTCCTTATTGTCCATCATTCACCCTTACTAAGGCTTTGCCTTTGTTCTATCACTGTGGAGGACTGCTTGCCATTCTGTACTCCACCATCCTGTTCTACAGCCACCTTTTATACAACATATCATTACTGCTCCTATTGCTCCCTCAATTCCCTCTCCCTCCTCATATTTTGGCTAATACTGTACCAAATTTGTTCTTTTTGCTTCCTGAAAATTGTCTTTGTTGAAGAGGCTATCACTTTCTTACTGTGCTTTGAACTTCAGATCCTGTTCCAGTTTGTGATACTTTTGAGCTTATTTTATTGTTGGAAGGTGTCAAATTCTTGTTTCTGGTGTTTTCTGTTATGCCTCTCTTGAACGGCCTCACAGCTGCCCACACTTCGTAATCCAGAAAAGACCCATGAAATGAGATCTGTTGTGGTGAAGTGCAGGAAGGCAAACTACAGTCTGACAGAGACAGAATCAGTATCATTAAAGGCAAACACTTTAATGCAGTCTTTGGCCACCCCATAACTACTATAAATGCCACAATCCCACTTCCTCCCAAAGAATTTCATAAAATTCTATTCTTCTGTTTCATAATGTTTTTTCTTTGGGGAAAAATAATCCATCAAGTCAAATGAGAAAGGGGGAAAATGCAGAATAAATGTTCGGCACAACATTCATTTTTATTGACCAGAAACTTTCTTTGGAGTGTCAATAGGTGAGGCTGGAGTCTGTAGTGGGTGAAGCAGTTGCATCTCTCTACCCTTTTCCAGCCCTCTTGTATTTCTTTATGCCTATCTGCCTTTTTTTCCTGGATAAATTTGACCTGATAACATTTTTCTAAGCTGATAAAATTGGGGGGAGTCTTTTTTTTTTAGTTGATCAAGTGGGGCTGGTTCTGTTTCTATATTGTCTGAGGTCTATCTATGCAAGAAGAACTTTCAGTCTTTTTTCCTAAATGGTTGAATAGAGCTAGCTGTAGTTTTTTTCTGAATAAAATCTCACATTGTTATTCAGATGACCTACGAAAGGATCCCCAATATGCAACACATGAACAGTTTTGCTTTTCAAAAACTAAGCTGTGCATATTTATATGGTTAAATAGATAATGGCTTATAATGGTTGCACATAGAAGGCTTCTCCCAGGATAATCTTTTACCCACTTCATTATCCCCCCATTAAAAAGAGCAAAAATCAGGCTGACTAATCCGCTCCCTTTCCTCCATTTAGGCTGCTTCCATCACTACCCTATTCTCTCTCTCTTTCTCTCTCTCTTTCTCTGAGACACACACACACACACACACACACACATACACAGATATACAGGAACAGCACTGCAGCACTCAACAATGGGGAAGGAAAGGAGTTACAGAACTCTGGGTACAACTATGACATAAAGGAAAGAATTCAAAACCTGCTGCAGTAGTGAACATCTGCATTTATTTTCCTAAATGTTTTATTCAATTTCTTTCACAAAAGCCAAAGTTGCTGAACACAAAAAAGCTTAGCCCCTCTTTTCCTAACTTTGAATCCTTTCACTTCTCTCAGTAGAGTAGTGCCCTCTATTGCCACTCAGTGGCCCATCTTGGTGCTTCCTTGTTGTACCATTTTCCTATATATTCATGATCCCTTCTCTCTTCCTTGTTGAACACTTGCAGACAGCCACAGCTCATGCATTATTTCTTCATATTCTGTCTGAGAACTACCACGCTGTTCACTTTCATTCCCTATTCTTATCCTGGCTACTATGATGCTTCTAGCATGGTAGTGAAGCCTTTCCTCTCTCCCTCACCTCTTCCGATGCAAAGAACTTGAGGATATGCTTTCCTGATGCTTTCTACATTGCAGACCTGATGCTTTCTACATCTATACAAAGTGTATATATACACTTCTATACAAAGTGTATATATTTAAGGTAAAAGACAGTACTTCCTTATTCATCTCAGTGATAGCACTTCTGAAAGGAAATAATGTCACCAGGTAGATACACAATACACTGGAGTGTCATCCTCCTTTGCTATGTAGATTGGAAGAGTAGTGCATTTAATTCACATCAGTAGGAACATTTAGATCAAATGCAGCCCCTTTTGCTGAATTATGTTTCTCTCTTAGCAGAGATAAGAATGTAAGAGCCCAACAACATGAAAACAATGGTCCAGAGAATCCAGGATTATGTTCTGATGGCTGATAACTAAACTTCTCCTACAAGAAGCAGATAAAAGAACAACAGTCACCTCCAGCTGGTGTATCATGCTCGGAGAGATATCAGGGTCCTGCATCTGAATCACTGATTCCCACATTCCTTGACCATAAGGACACCTTTGCAACATTGAGAAAATTTGCATACTTCCCTCAACACAGTAGCAGTTTTACATTATTATCTGATTAATTCACTAATCATAAGTAATGGTTTTAAATGAATTTATATTTTAGTAATTTATGTATTTGTACTTATTTACTTATTTCAAGTATTGATACAGCCCCCTACTAAAACAACATGACTCTTGGTAGTATATAATCAAAACAAACAGTATTTAATTAAAAATAAAATAAAATGATATAGATATAGATATTCTGTTTAAGGGAAGAAACCCTGTGGCAAACACACACAGGCCACTAACTACACCTTCCTCCTTTCTATTTATTCCCTTCCCCTATCCTTGTTTTAAAAAAAGAATAAATAGTAGAAGCTAAAAGCAAACCAGAAATATTTTTATGACCAACCTTTCTCTCTCTCTCTCCCTCTCTCTCTCTCTCAGGTCACTGGAAGTTGGGATCAAGGGGTGTCAAACTTTATGGAAAAAGTAGAATATTAGGGAGCTGCAGCAGGTGGGATGTGCAGGGAGCCCTGGGAGATAACTGTGTCATTCTGGGGAGGGGGGGGCAAAGAGACCAAAATAGGAGCACATATAGACAGGTGTTGTTGGTTATGGGTTAAGAAGATTTGTGGGCAACTTACAGGGTCTGTAGGCAGGCACTGTGCAGGAGTGTGACAGCAGTGGGAAAAACCATGCAGACATTTTATGTGCTGAGAGGAAGGGAAAGATAAATTTGGTCCAGTTCTATGAAATTTTCATTTATAATTCTGTTATCCCATTGCCCAACCATCTCTTGCTTCTGAAATACTTAAAGAGTTTATAATTCTTTGTTTTAATTTTACAAACAATATGCCCCGCAGTGTCCTTTTATTTCACCCCTCATTATTTTTCTCTCCTAAAAAATATTTACATTTCTATTGTTCAAATCAGTAGTCTTTTTTGTTATTCTTTCCAGCCCAATGGAATATGGGAAGGAAATTATGTAAAGGGACCTGCTATTTCGGAGAGAGAAGACCATAACTTACAGTAATAAATTACAGTAATAATTACTATATTGCCATCTTGCAGCATATATTCCTGTATTTTAATTTTTTGCTGGAAATACAGGGCACTAATATTTGTTTAAAATATTTATATTCTCTCTCTCTCTTTAGCATGTTTCCTAGATGCTCATGGCAACTAATATCACAAACTCTGAAACCAAATAGAAAATAGAAATTAAATGACCGTATTGCTGAATTTAAATGTTCTAAATCACAGTAGCATCTACATATGATTCTTCCTTTCTAAGGCAAATACCTACTAAGGAAAATAATGAAATGTAAGACTGAATACAGTAGGTTCCAAGTCTCTGGTCTGAGATGGGCGGCTATATAAATTGAATAAATAAATAAATACATAAGTAACTAAGTAAGTAAGTGTTTTAACAGAAGTGGGTGCTATAAAAATGGTCGTCCATTCATTATATCAGTAAATTCTGGAATTATGTTTTTAGAATACCCATGAAACATAATGGAATTGCACTAAAAGTTATTAAACGTCTGGGGCATATACAGTATTAAATTTTTCACTTGGAGCTAGTCAAAAATGCTTTATTGGATTTCCTATAATTGGCTTGAATGGAAGAAATAAGATACTCCTGTTGGAAAATTAAAATGTTTTCCACAAAGTAAGCAGCAAAATCTAACTAGTGCACATGTTGTATGTGGCAAACGCAGTGCTTTGATTTGTTTCAGAGAATCCACCAAAGGTCTCTCTAGCGTGGTTTTTCTCTTCTGCTCTTGGTTACTAGTTGTGTTCCCTTATAACCTGATTAATCTGTACAGTATTAAATAAGATGTCAATGCATACATTTTTACATCATCTCTCCCAAGATGGTTTGCAGAGTTTTCTTCTTCCTAGAGACACAAAGAGATCTTACCCTTATAACAGTTCTATGACTTAGGTTAGGCTAATGAGAGTGATCAGCTTCCTGGCCAAGTGA